TGGGTGGGGGGGGGGGGGTCTGGAATTCTCAGCAGTCTGGGGATTTAACCCCCGTCACCCAGCCCAGTGGTTTGGGTGGCTCAGGTGCGAGCCTGGAATTGAATTCCGTGTGGCCTTGAGCTCTGTGCCTCAGTTTCCCCCTGCACTGAAGAGAATAGCCCTGCCCACGGGGCACCGGGGGATCCATACTTTATCTAGGCACATCTCCTGTGGCGATGGGGGCTAGGAGACTCCCACAGATGTCTCAATCCCCTGGGCCATTCTGACAAGCTTGGTGAGCAGCGGCTGTTTGCCTGACGGCCCGGCGTGCGGGGCTGGAGCGTCACTGCGCTCCGGGCACGGCTCCTGCCGCCAATAACCAGGTGGTGCGGGAGGCAAAGAACACAGCTGGATTTATTTCTCTTAAGAAAGAACTACAAAAGGTAGAAAACAGCGTTTGCACTCTAGCTACACACGTCCACACCATCCGATCACAGGCACTGCCCAGCGCCCGGGCCAGGACACCTACAAAAGCTCTTCACACCCCACGTGAAGGCCGCTCCGCACAAAAGATTGACACAAAATATATATTTTATACAATATGTCGATTTTGCAATAAACATCTATCTCACAGGTTTAAACCACTGAAAAAGTGAACAAATAAGGCCATGATGGTTGAAAAAACCCAAAAATATCAAGTAATTTATATCTTCACCAATCTCACAATATTTAGGTGGTGTATAGAGCAAGGATTAGTAATTACATACAAAAGCACAGGATCCTCTTCCTCTTCAAAACTAGAATATCTAATATTCAGTTACAAAGGGGTGCTCGGCGCTCGGTTCCTGGGGAGCGGCGTGCCGCCCGGCCCGATGGATTGCCTCTTCGTTGCTGGCAGGGAGGGGGGCGCCCGGGGGAAACCTGCCAGCCCACAAGCTACACGCGCGGGTCTCTCTCCTGGTGGGTAGAGGGTACTTATAAGGCAGCAACTCAAACCAAAGGCAGGAGCGTTCCCCGGAAGAGCACAAGTAGCTTTGAGCGAGGATTCCCGTCCCGGTTTGGCTAGGCAGGGCTCCCGGTTTGGCTAGGCAGGGCTCCCGCCCCGGCGCGTGGGGGTCTGAGCTGCCCCCGGCTGTCCTCGTGCCTGGGCAGGAAGCAAACCAAGGGAAGCTACCGGCTGTCTCCCCCCCAGTGACCGAGCAGGGAGCTGGTCCTGCGAGGGGGCGAAGTGTCTTCGCTTGCCCCTGGGCCGGGCCGGAGCCCACCACAGCTCTGAGCTCTTCCTCGCACGCGCAGCTGCCCTGGGGTCAGTAGTTTTCACAGTGAGCGGCACGGCGCCTGCGGCCGGGTTCGCGGTGGGAAACGCGCCGCTGGGCCTGGCTGGGGGGCGCGACGGCAGCCGAGCGGCCACGGTGTTTGCAAAGCAAGGAGCCTTGCTGGGAGCCCGAGGCGCTGACTTGTGAGCCTTGTTCCCTGCACTAGCAGGCGTGACTGTAGCCAGGCCTGGCGGCCTGAGCACCTGCTGGTTCCCTGCCAGGGCCTCGGGAGGGGGGATTTGGCACTGGGTCTGGCCCTGGCTGGCTGGGGCCGGGCCCACGGGAGGGGGGGGCCTTGGC